TGCTTACCCATCGATGGGAAGATCTTCCCATCGCTGGTTGAGTGGTTAGCCAAAAACCTATGGTTTTTGCCTTAACCACGGCCTAGCCAACCGATGCAAAAACCGACCGAAAAATCCAAAGTTCTCCAAAATAAAAACTAAGTGTTTAAAACACTTATTTGATGTATTTGGCTAAGAAATCAAGTGAGACACTTTAAAAATCACGTCATTTGAGTAAAAACCACGGCTAGCCAAGTTTACGCCGTTTTGCGTGGTTTTTGTCAAACGACTAAAAGCGAGAGATGGTTTTCAAGGTGTTTTTGTTGGAGAACCGTTTAAACATGCCAAAGAGTGAAAGAAGATCAGAAAATGCTGAAAACCACTTGGTTGGTTCGGATGCCAAAAACCAAACCCGACAACCGAAAGCCGAACGCTGGTTTCTGAAAGCCAAACACTGGATGGCTTGGTTTTTGGTTTGGGCGAACACCAAGCGTTTTTTTTAATGACTTAAACAAGTTTAAAACCATTTTTATGATGTATGAAATGCAATGAGAGTTTTTAGCCTAAAGAGCCAAAGTGTAAAGATTGGGTCGGTCTTGATCACAATAAAGACCGACTCAATACTATGATTAAGGTCTTCGTTCTTGGTCTTCGTTTAGCTCTTGCTCTTATCTTCATTCTTCGCCTTGTATATTCAATGTTTGACTTGATCACGGCGGTTTGGCATTATCAAAACCTGTTACAAAAACGAACACGGCTTTAGTACTACAACGTGACAAGCCCGTGTTTCAACACTACTGTGGTGCTTATCCCCAAAGTGAACTCTAATCCAAGTGTCAAGGATTTCAGACCCATTGCTTGCTCCAATGTCACTTATAAAATCATTACCAAGATCCTGTCTAACAGGATGAGTAGCATAACCCCGATGATCATTAATCTTGCTCAATCTACCTTTGTGGGAGGGAGAGGGTTGGTTGACAATGTACTTTTGGCCCAACAGTTAGTTAGGGGTTATGCAAGGAAGAGAGCTCCACCCAATTTTATGATCAAATTAGATATCTCCAAGGCATATGACACCATAAACTGGAGGTTCCTAGAAAGTGTTCTACTGGGGTTGGGGTTCCCCTTCAGATTTGTGAAGCTTCTTATGGAATGTGTAACCACTGCATCATTTTCTTTGGCAATCAATGGAGGAATTCATGGATTTATCAAGTGTGAGAGGGGCATCAGACAAGGAGATCCTATGTCACCTACTCTGTTCCTCTGTTGTGTGGAATACTTGTCTAGGCTGTTGGGGAAGATGACTTCTGATAGGAAGTTTAACTTCCACTCTAAGTGTGCTAAGCTCAAGATTCATCACATTGCATTCGCTGATGACATCATGATGTTTGCTAGGGGAGATTTCAATTCTGTAAAAGTGCTAGCTGATGCTATTCAACACTTCACTTTGGTTTCTGGCCTACACATCAACCCACAGAAATCTAACATTTTTCTGGCTGGGTCTATCAAGGATAATAGACAAAGTTTACTGGATTTGGTACACTTCCCTGAGGGCAAACTGCCGGTTAGATACCTTGGCCTTCCTCTAACCTCTCAAAGGGCTTCTGAGAGGGATTTTGCTCCTTTGATTTGCAAGGTGGATGAGAATATTAGAAGATGGAACTCTAAAACCCTTTCTGCTGCTGGAAGGGTGGAACTCATCAGGAGTGTTATACAGGGCATTGAGGGTTTTTGGCTGCAGGCCTTCCCAGTACATAAATCTGTGCTGAACAAAATTACTGCTATGTGCAGAAATTTCCTATGGGGCAGCAAATTTTACAAGGTGGCTTGGGAGGATATTTGCAAACCTAGGGAGGAAGGAGGGGTATCACTAAAGAATTCTTTGGTTTGGAACCAGGCTTTGATGGGAAAAAATTTATGGAACATTGCTGCTAAGAAGGATACCCTTTGGGTACAATAGGTACATACTGTTTACCTTGTGGATAGAGACATTTGGACTTGGGTCCCAAAGAAAAGGGACTCACACTTTTTCAAGAAGCTGGCACATGTGAGGGATTTGATTTACCAAAAGTGTGATTCATGGAGATCTTTGATGGATCAGGAAGAGGTTAGCACAACTACACTCTATGATTTGCTGAGGGTGAAAGGGAATGCTAAGCCTTGGATGCGGATTATATGGCAGTCCTATATCCCACCAAGGTTCTCTTTTAGAACTTGGCTGGCTTGTAGGAGAAGACTTCCAACTAAAGTTAACCTCAACTTCATTGAGATGGATAGAACTTGCAGTTTGTGTGATAGGGAGGAAGAGACAACTTGCCATCTGTTCTTTGAATGTACTTCTTCTGCACAGATATGGAATGCTGTGAAAAGCTGGTTTAATATCACCCCAACCCTTTCCACTCTGAACAGAAGCATTAGATGGCTAAAAAGCAGGCATGGAGTACATGGAAACAGAAGGAAGCTGAACAAACTGGCCACTCTATGCACTGTCTATTACATTTGGAAGTTGAGGAATGCTGTGTATTTTGATAATGAGAGGGTTAATATACAGTCTACCATTGAGAAAATCAAGGTGGCTGTATATAGGGTCATGTTTCATATGTACCCAAATTGTAACCTGCCTGTATAACTTTGTGGTGACTGATGGACCTTTGGTTGTGACTGTGTGATCTTGAGGAAGGGTGCTTCCTTTCTGGGTGGTGGTGGGGCTGTTAGCTCTCTCATGCACATTGTTGGATGGACATGGAGTTGTTAATGGCCTGGGGGTGGGGCTGTTCCTTTTTGGTTGGCTTCTGGAAACTTAGCAATCCATTGCTATTCCTTTGGAATAACTATTGATTGCTTTGGGTCCTGGGTGGGGTGGGGGACCCTGGCTTGGGGTGGTGAAAACTAACTAACCTCGGTGTGTACCCCCTCTGGATATGCAGAGAGGAGCTAGGGTTCCGGTTGGGGTGTTTTACACCTATCTTCTTCCTTCTTCCCCTCTCCTCCCTTCTTTCTTTTTCCTTTTTCTTTCTTTGCTTCCCTCTTTTCCTTTCTTCTTCTTGGACATGAGCCCTGGTATACCAAACTATCCATTCTTCAGGTTGGTTAGGAATACTATTGCTTGTGGACTGGGTCTTTCTTGGGGTGGGTGGACCCCTTTCTTGGGGTGGCGAAAACAAGCTAAACCCTGTGTACCCCTTCTGGATATGCAGGGATTAACTTGGGTTCTGGTTGGGGTGTGCTGCACCTTCTTCTTTCTTTGTCCCCCCCCTGCCCCTTCTTTCTTCCACAGCATTCTCTCCTCTCTCCTCTTCTTGGACATGAGCCCTTGTGTACATAATCTTTCACTCTTTAGAAAGACTATGGACATTATGGCTTGTGGACTGGGCCTTGGGCTTTGTGGGTGGGGTACCCCTTCTTGGGGTGGTGGAAACAAGCCTACCCCTGTGTACCCCTTCTGGATACATAGGGAGAGGGTTGGGTCCCTGGTTGGGGTGTTTTTACACCCACTTCTTTCTTTGTTTTCCCCCTCTGTCCCCTTCTATTTCTTTCTTCCTCTTCCCTTTCTCCCTCTTTTCCTTGTTTTGTTCTTTCTTGTTTCTGGATGCTAACCAAACAGCATGCCACCAGTCATTCTTCTAACTGGCCATGAGGTATGGTTAGGTCCCTTGGTCTGGGGTTGAACTTGGCTTCACCATTTGCCTTGGTAATTGTGTATTGGCTTTGATTGAACCTTGGAATTTGAGCTTGATTGTATCTCTTTTGAACTTGATTGCATCTGGGCTTGCTAAAGGAATTGGAAGCCGATTGTATCTCCTTTGTACCTGGCCTTGCA